AATCTTTAGGTGAGCCCAAGCACTGTTATGAGTGTCACCTTAAAGAGAGAGAGAGAGAGGCAGGCGATTAACCCAGACATTTTAAATAGAAAAAAGTTAGGCTTGGTTGGGGTGCCGATTAGCTATGTAAAGTGACCCCACAAGTGTGAAGGTAACACCAACTTATGAGTTGTTTAGTAAATGACCCAGCTGGGAGGCTAGGGAAACTGGCACTGACTGGCACTTGATCTTGGGAAAATGGCACTGACTGGCACATGATCCAGGGAAAATGGCACTGACTGGCACGATCTAGGGAAAGTGGTACTTGGTCTAGAGAAACTGGCACTGACTGGCACTTAATCTTGAGAAACTGGCACTTGATCTTGAGAAACTGGCACTTGATCTAGGGAAAATGGCACTGACTGGCACTTAATCTTGAGAAACTGGCACTTGATCTTGAGAAACTGGCACATGATCTAGGGAAACTGGCACTGACCTGGCACTTGATCTTGAGAAACTGACACTGTTTGGCACTTGACCTAGGGAAACTGGCACTTGATCTAGGGAAACTGGCACTTACTGGCACTTGATCTGGGGAAACTGGCACTGACTGGCACTTGACCTAGGGAACTAGCACTTTATCTAGGGAAACTGTCACTGACTCTGGCACTTGATCTAGAAAAACTGGCACTTGAATTAACCTAACCTAACGTAAGTACATTTGAGTAGTACAACACCTCACCTCTACCACCACCACTATGCTACGACGGTGAGGGAGGGAGGGAGGGAGGGGGGGGATTGTCATGCAGGTTATTGCCAGACATGGTGGTGTGTGTCGCCAGCCTCTGTGTGTATGTGTGATACGAGTTTGTGTAGTCATGTCCAGTTGGGTCTCTTGTTCTCTTATAGTACCTCCTCCTCCTTCACTATTCTCTTCTTCCACACTGTCCCTCACCACCTGACGTAGGGCCTCTTAAGCTCCACGTCAGCCTTACACTACACCTTTGTCGATGAAGAGGTATGGTGATTAAAACAAGCTACTCTCGTGGTGTTGATTTAAGGCGAGGTGTTCTCACTAGTTATCTGTCTACCTCGTGTCTAGGGAGGTTAGTATACTGTAGGTAGTGGGAAGCAGGTTTGTGACCCTTCCACCCTACCCCGCCCCGGCAACGCGAAATTCTCACCCACCGGCTTCCTTCCTCTACACCTGCATATGGAACCCAGGTGTCGGGCTCTCTCACCCCTCCCCCTCTCTTCCCTCTCTCCCTCTTCTCCCCCTAACCATGCATACATCAACTGCCCACTCTTATGACTGTTGTTAATAATAATAATAATAATAATAATAATAATAATAATAATAATAATAATAATAATAATAAACGGTTTATTGAAAGAACATGGCAGCCGGAAGGACCCTAAAATATACAGATGTATAATTGGGGAATGGATCTCTTGACTGACAAATAATATACAAGTAACATTGGCATACAATTATGATATTTAATAACTAGGTGTGTGTGTGTGTGTGTGTGTGTTCGATGTAAGTTGAATTGCTTGCTTAATGTGACTCAAACATTCCGAACATGTACAGTATATTGGATGATTTATGAAGGTGTCTATGTGTTTTGCAGTCTGATTGGTTTATGAGGAGTGGACGTTGAGGATTATGTGTTGAGAGAGAGAGAGAGAGAGAGAGTCACGAATACCAATGTAGAGTTGTGTGATTATGATTGTTGTGATGATAGTTGTTGTTGTAGACTGGAGGGGGGGGGGTGGGGTGTACTGTTGTTTAGGAGAGGGAGGGAGGGAGGGGAGAGCTGTGGTGGTGTTGCGGTGGGCCAACTCAGTACGAAAATAGGTGAGGGCATATTAGGCATTGGTGAGGTGGGTGGTAGTGTTGGTGTGGTCTACCAATGGAAGCACTCCAGGAACACTGTAAGAGGGATGGTCGTGTGGCTAGTCTTAAAAACAAAAGTTAATGCATCACCTTACCACTCCTGACACACACACACACACCCCGGCTGCCACTATATTAATAAACCGTTTATTATTATTATTGTTATTATTACACACACACGACGCGACCTTGTGTATCTGCCTATCACCACATTCCACCACGTGTCCTTCTTCCCACACGTCCCAGTAGTAGTACATACCCTTGCATATGTCATCCTCCACCTCTCCCCTTGCACAGCTCACAACATTCCCTCTCCCTCCATATACAAGCACGTTTCCCAAGCATCCCTCTGGTACCTCCCTGACACAACGCTGCCTCTTCCTCCTCCTTGATGGACTGACTCACACCATGGTTGTATGTCTCGTACTGTGTCTAGGGAGAAGCCGTTTCCTTGTAGTTCAGTTGTAAGCCTACTATTCCTGCTGGCTTATAACAGTGACAGATAAATATTTCCAGTCGCAATGATTATTTCACTGGCGTATTATGGCCAGGGATTGATTTTAAGTATACGCAACCCCTTCCAGCCCTTCCCAATATTTTCCTCTAATCCTTTAACATCTCCGCCAAAGAGCACCCGAGTCCTCCAAATGTCGTGCTCACTAGCCGTTCCTCTATCCTCTCAGCAGCCGTTCCTCTCCTCTCACCTACCTCTCTAATCCCTAACTATGAGTTGACCATATCGTCTCCTTCCCTTCATCTTCCTTCTCTCAGTTACCGACAGTGAAGGTTATGTGAGGGAATGTTCAAACCTTCACACCTTTTTGCCGTATCCGTAGCATTACGACGCCATTCTAAAATTGGTGTGCGTCAATACTTGTCTTGAATCTACTTTTTTATTTTATTTGAATAAGCTTTTTGACTGGTGAAACTTAAATCACAATACACGGGCTAACTGGCAGGGTATACCTCTAGCCTAGTCTTGCGACAGTCACATACTGTAATACAAGGCTGTCTAAGATAGCCTGCAGTTAACACTCTTGAAGGCCAGGTCCTCAGGTTCTTACCGAATCACTACTGTGGGAAACAATGACGGGATTTATGATAGTTATAGATCTATTTGGTAATTGCCTGTTAGTGTTGGTGATAGTGAGTGAGGATATATATTTTTTACGAGTTGGTGTGGACAAAGTTGACAAAGTTCGAAGGAGTGATTAATTATGTGGGGGATCGAGATGGACGTGTGAGGAGGTTGTAGCTTGTTGCAGGTGCACCGCTGTGTTCCTGCACACAACCTGTTACACAACGCCAAGAACAGTCATGGGGTGTACGACGCCATTTACGATGACCTTCTTGCCCTGATCTTGTTTCAGGAATACCACCTTTTCGAAGCTTTGGAGGAGTCTCGAAGCAAGTTTCCTGGTGGGAATTATTAGCTAGTACTGTACTGAAATTATCGAATCTTCGAGATCTCTCCAGAGCTTCGAAAAGGTGGTATTCCTGAAACAAGATCAGGGCAAGAAGGTCATCGTAAATGGCGTCGTACACCCCATGACTGTTCTTGAATACGGCCTAACATACACCCGTCTGAGGTGTCTTTTATTATAATATAAAAGTAACGTTGCCCCAGAGTTTGAAATGTGTAACTGTGAGTGACAATTAGAGAAGTGTTCCCCATGAAAGTGGTGACCCACATCCCCCGGGAGCGGTGCACCACGATACACGCCACTCTCGCCCTTCCTATACCAGGTAGAAGGTCGCATCTCCCAACCCCTCCACCCGGCACGCGCCACTCCCGCCCTTGTGTCCTCCGGCCGTACAACTCGTCACTCACTCAACATGCTGCTCAGGCCACTATCGCCTTAGTGCCCCCCCGCAGTATGGCTTATGTAAAGCCTTCACACGCTTGTTCGGTTTCATACAAGTATCTACCATACGTTCTCCCAGCCTTAGTGTTGTTGTTCCTTCAATAGCAGAGCCAGACAGGATGGATGCCATTACCCGCCTCACAGCCAAGGGTTGTAGAGGAGACATTGGCTTGGTGGAGAGATCGCCGGTTGCTAAAACCGGTCTGGTTAGTGGCCCTGGGGTGGGTCCTTTCCCACATGATAACGTCACCACTTGTGTCCACATTAGAAAAGTATTAGACCTCTGTTATGGTCACGTTAAATTAAAAAAGAATATGTATACAGTACAGTATATCCTACCTTTATTATAAACACTTCGTACACTGTCCAAGACGAGAAATTTATACTAGGCAGTTATTGCCTAGAAATTACTAGACGTAAAATAAAATTCCTTCACAGTATATTCGACCTTTGTAATGGTATATGGGGGAAAGTACGGGCATTTAATAACTTGTGTTGTGGCCAACTGAAGAGGAGTAGTTAGAAGGTGAGTGGAGAGGGTTATGATGGAGGTGACTGGTGGAGAGAGTAGTAGTCTCCAGCTGGTAGAGGTGGGGTAGCTGGTGGCGAGGGTACTGGTAGGTGGGTTAGGGCGTGAGGGTGTTGTTGATCTGTAATACAGTACATGCATGAAGGTATTGAGGTGGAACTGGCAGATATTAGGAGGAAACATGGAGACTCGTTGATGAATTTTGAGTGACATTTTAAGTGAATGGCTAAAGGATGTGTGAGATTGGTGAGGGGGTGAAGGCTACTAGTGAGGGGGTGAAGGATATTGATATGAGGGATGAGTGGCTTTGAAGGAACGGATCCAAGTATGAGGCAGATGTGATAAAAACTTGACCAGACAGACAGTGACCTCAATTAACAGCTGGTGACCTATGTGGTGCCTTGCCTCGATAACATTAGCTCAATGTACTACAGGAAGCCTTGAAAGAGGACACCACTGTACCTCTGGCAGCCTCTGTAACACATCCATAGTAGCTGAGTATAATATGATTACTAAAAATTCTAAAGTGTCTTGATATAGAAAATGTATATATACCACATTGGTAATACTGTACTGGTTGCTTGGTAAGTATCACTGTCAAAGAGCAGTACAGTATAATATAGTGGTCCAAGTGATAATTGTACTTTGTTCCCTAATGCATTGCTTGTGACATTAAAGAATATAACCAATATTTTCAGATTGTAATAACGTAATGTATTTCATCTTACAGGAGATTCAAATCCCAGGCCGCAACAATGGAAGCTCCAAGTTCTCCTTCTCGCTGCAAAGTATCCAGGATCCCGATGGGCCGCAGGGCAGCTTCGAGTTCATCAAGCAGTTTGGCACTAGGTACTGTACTAACTTTCCTCTCTTCATTCTCTCTAATTGTCATAAATATTGTTGTTTAGGCTCAATTCTGTGTGTGTGTGTGTGTGTATGTTTTTTGTTTTTTAATATTATGCAGGACTTTAGTAGTGGTCCAAAGAACTAGACCCACTGACTTTTATATTATGAACACTATTATTATTGCATTACAGTAAATCAATATCATGTCTTGTTTTTGTCTCCATTGTCATTTTTACTATTAATGTTGTTAAAATTACTTTACTTCTTTAACTTTGGTCATATTATTGTCCCTTAAGATTTCTTGTTACCGGTACTGTACCATTGATGTAATAAGTTTATCCCTTATGTGAGAGTACAGTACACTTGTTTATTCCTCTTTATCTTGGAAACTAAAGGAAATTTATTATATTTTATTTGTATAACATTCTTAATCTTTCTTAACATTTTCTTTACTGTATTTTTAAAATAATTTCTACAGTGTCAGTTTAAAGATACAATCTCGTATACTGTAGTTTACTATTTTTTTGTAATTCACTTCCTTTTACAAATAATATTAACCTTAATGAACTGTATTTTTTATTTATACAGTATTTTTGCCTGAAGTTTGTAAATTTCATTATACTGTTGTACTGTGTATATAGTACAATTCAATTTCAATTGTTTATTCCTTGATAGAGGAAGCGGGATCCTAGTGCTGTCACTAGGTACCCCTGTATAGTACAATGATATATTTTTTTTCTTTGGACGTTTTTATTTACCCGCGGACTTTGTCCACAGAGCATTGGAATCTCTTGGACCAATGGTAGGCAAAGTATGGATCCAGGCTAAGGATGATTCATATGAGAAGACCAGACAAAGCATGGAGAACGCTAAGATAAAGAACCAAATGAATTGGTAAGTGTTAAAACAGAGAGCTCATACTAGAGCAGTTTTTATGTTTGTGGTGCCTGTAAGCTGTGTGTCTGTATAGTAGTTGGTCATGCAGTATAACTATTATAATGGGCTATAGTGACTTTGTAGTATATGTGCAGGGATCTAATTTTGTTGTAAAGTATTAGTTATATTGATTAAGATGTGGTCTGCTCTGTTTAACTGGTTATGGAGTACTGTATTTTTTTTATCCACTTCCTTGTGCTTATATATGATAAAAGGTGTACAAGGCTTATTGAATACTGAACACAAGTACTGTACTGTATGTATCTGGAAATTCCATCAGTTCATTTGATGAGCTGTGAGGCATCCATCAGATAGATTATTTATTCTTATGATTTATGTTTTATGAATTTGAATATGCATAAAAGAGGACATGTTTGTTTATGTTTGTATGAATGGAATATAATGTCAGTGTTAATGAGTAAATTTAATGGATATTTGATAATTAAGAACAGACAGGGGAACTAAACTAGTTTGTTGAGTGATGTGTAACTTTTATTCATAGCTTTTTTCTCCATTTTTTATAATATTTCGTGTATACATCTGTACTGTAGTTCTTGTCACTAACACCACCAATCATTATTACAGTGTTAAAGAGGTGAAGACTAATTCCGGCAACCCCTTTGTGCGACAAAGAACCTCCCTTGTCAAGAAATCAACTTTGGTAGTTCCACCACCAAAGAAAGATGTGACTGCTGAATTGCAGTCCAATAACAGATACAACCAGAATACATCCAACTCACCCAACCGAATACACTCTGGTGGAACAACAGGGAGCAATCCTCAAGCTGGTAAACCTCCGCCTCCTCCGCCACCCACCAATGTTCCTGCCAGGAAAAGTAATCCTGAGTTAGTTAGAAGACCTCTGAGGTAAGTTTACAATTGTTGCAGAAAATTCTTTTGAATAAGCTTGTTTATCCCCCTGACCCCCTCCTCTACCTCTCCTTCCATCCCCACTGTACTGTAATCTATTTCCCCTAAGAGTGAATTATGACTGGAGTAAAGACAATGTTACCATGTGTTAAAAATGATGCTGGACATAAAATATGATAATTGCTGATTTATGTAAAGTTGAGATAATTTATTCATAAAATGTTTCCTTCTATAGAGAAAGAATCATCCAACTCCTGGCTGTGAAGAATTATAGGAAACCAGAAATAATAAGAAGATTATACATTGGTAAGTGACATTGTGTGAATCATGTTCATTTCCATTTTACCTTTTAGTTTCTTAGAACACCTCACATCCTGATAGGCAGTGCCATTTTCAGCTGCTATATGAATTGAGTACAGTATGATAATTTTTACATCTTCTGTTGGGAGTGTTACCAATACAGGTACCTGTAGTTTGTTTGAACTTCAGGTACAATACTGCCTTTTTGTTATATGCTTACAGGAAGGGTCAACCACACCAAATACTGTACTGTAATAGCATGTATAGTACTGTACAATTTTCTTCTCCTTCCTTATGTGTTAGAGAATCAGAAGGCTGAGGTATGTTTGGTTAGTACACTGTCGCTGAGAAAGATCTCGGTAAAAGTAACTTTGGAGGAAAATGAACTTGTACTGGTAATCATCATTATCACCATTACCATCTTCATGGCATGGTGGTGAGAATGATGATTTTAAGGCTATTTCCCTTGTTTGTGTGACTTAACCAATTAAAAGATCTTTTTTGGACTTCAATACAGTAGACCCTTGCCATTCACGAGCTTGTGATTCACAATTTTGACAATTCACAGTAAGCAGATGGTGGCTATAGTGGCTGGCTTGCAAGCCTTTCCCCACAGCACAAGTCACTCCCACAGCATCTCGTGTTGTATTCTCAAAGCTTTAGTGTTTCTGTGTGAAATGGACCTTAAAAGACTACCCAGTGTCAGTACAAGTGATGCTAGTGGAGTGAAATGTAAAAGGCAGAAGTCAGAGATGACCCTGACAAAGAAAGTTGAATAATTAGATAAGTTAAAAGAGGGGATGAGTGCTGCCGCGGCTGTTTAGTTATTTGGTATAGGTATACAGTAGTGCACTAAAGTAGCATAAGTTGCTATTAGCAGTTTTGCCTATTCATGTCATTCCTTGGAACCTAAACCCCGCGAATAACAAGGGTTTACTGTAAGTTTGTATTTCCATGGTAGGTACTAGCCAGATGCTCTATGACTGTACACACATGATAATATTAACCCCTTTGCTATTAGGGGTTTCTCTCTGATGACTAAAATTGTCTGGCAAATAAAACTATATAAATGGCATTCAGTAGTGAAATGGTTAATAAACATAATAACAAAGGATGTTTTATGGTTCTCAATCTTATTAGATAAATACCAACAATATTTCATCTGTTTCTAGGCTTTTCATGCTATCACAACTATTTAATGTTTTTCATGTTTTCTCAGATGGGGTTAAGGAAAAAGACAAGCGGCAGATGACAAGTGTTCTAAACAGTGTCTCACTAATCAAAGAGAACATCCATCACCTTGCACGGGGTCTTTGGAATGAAGTGCGAGAGGATTGGCCCTTCTACACGGAAAATGAGAAGGAAGTTGTTAAAAAGTAATATTGTAATTTGTTCAAGTTACCACCTTATTAAACTGTAGACCCAACCCAGTGACATATCCAGAACTTTTAAAGACTGGAAAGACCCATTATTACATGTTTCCTGGTCAGCCAAATCAGTTGTGTAGGAATAGTGCATATCTTGCAGAGACTATTATGTTGAACATAAAAAATTTATGTACAGGTATTATTATTTTTTTTACTTATACCATTATATGAGTTGAAGTGTACCATACATAAAGTATAGTACTGTACTGTTATCTGTTTTAGACTATACCTGAACTTGATTTTTTTTTTCAGAATTAAACCCCAGGGTCTAACTCCTCCTAGCAGTTACAATGGTCAGTCTCCAACATCTACACTCCCTTTGTCCCCATCTCCTAGCTCACAAGGTGTCAAACGCCCTCATGAGGAAACATGTGATCCTACAGTCAAAAGGGCTCGGGGTTCACGTTGGACCGGTACAAAATCCAGTAAAAGAGATAATTCTCGGTCTGAATCAAGAGACAACAAGAAGCCAGAACCTATAGATACCCAGCCTAATATTAAGCCAAATTCTTCTTCACTAAATTCTTGCTCAAATAGCAAACAGGTGAGCAATGGACGACACCACCATCGGGATGAACGACCTCAGATAAATGGCACCACAAGTCCAAATAGGAAGCCTCCTTCCACGTCACCCATGAGTCAAGATTCACCACGGCATCGCCTTAATGGCATACACTCTCACCACACCTCAGGAAACCATTCGCCCATCAATGGCATGTCAAATGGCCTAACTAATGGTCATGCCAACCCCCACCACAGGACGAATGGTCATAGCAGATTGGAACCTTCAACCCCGAACTCATCCCCAGATAGTCACCACGGGGAGGAGGACTCGGATGAGGATTACCAAACGTAAGTTCTCACTAATATTTTAGTACTTAATGTTTACCATATATTACATTGATTTTTTCACTGCATGTTGCTACATTAATAACAATGCCTTGCTCAAAAATAGGTTTTGAAAAATGCCTTGCTCAAAAATAGGTCTTGAACTCCTAAAATTAGTTGCCCAGACTAGGGGGTTCTTTCATTCACTCTTCCACTTACCTCGCGTACAGTTGCCAAAGTGTATGTTGTTACTTCAGTGAAATTAATCACTCAATGAAACAAAGGCTCCTACAGGCTAGATTCATTGTCTTTAGACAACTTTTCTTATTATTTCTTAGGTGTACCTAATTCAGTAATCCAACCCATATTTTCCTAAATCATAGTAATTATGATTTGTGTTAAAGGTTTTGCTTTTAATTCTTTACTTATATGACAGCCAAACAAATACTTATTAGTCACCTACCCAAACAGTGTTGATGCTCTGCTATATATGATATATGCATTTTTCAGATGATATTTATATACCATACCTGCACCACATGAACACAAAATGAATGTTTTACACATGTTGCTTTAAACATTGTTGTTATGTACTGTACTCATATCATACAGTAATACAGTACTGTACTCTATTCAAACATGAACATTTTTTTATACAGTTACCTTATGCTGTACATAATCAGATGTGCTCATGCGTACACAACTATCATTAGATTTGCATACTGTGTGATTGCGTGCTTTACAAAATACACTCACGTCTGGGCAAATAAACCTTGCTTGTAAACTATAGTCGAGTCCTAACATATCACCTTTGTGTATGCATATATACATGTTTTAATTTTATATTGATGTTTTCAGGAGCTACACGGCAATAGTGTCTGTTGAACAACGGAGTCGATATAAAGCAGACTTTAATAGACAGTATCAGGAATACCTACTATTGCACCGTTTCATAGAAGAACGGACACGACCATTCAGTAACCTAGATGAACGCCTCAAGAATGAAGCTCATGGTTCTGATGAATATAATGTAGGTTTTCTATTTCAATTTCATTAGTCATGCATTTACTCTTTTAATTTTAGTGATCCTTTAATTGTTGTTGTCTGAACATATTTACGTGATACGAAGAGAAAATTTGTAGCTCTAATGTATCATAATTTTTTATATTATAGTATTTGCTTGTACCTGTACAATAATTTGAAATATGCAGAGCTTAAAGCAGCTTGCATGCAGACTTTTAAAACTGGGCACTTGATATCAGTATAACCTTTAGATATTAATACTTTCAAGACTATCTACATTGTGCAGTATATTAATTAGAGCATTAATGGATCCTCTTCATTTTTAGACAATACGTGCCCAAATCCTTAGAGAGTATGAAGCCACTCAACAGGACCAGGAATTCCAGCAGAAGAAGAAGCGGTACAGTTACCTACATGAAAAGTTAGCCCACATCAAGAATTTGGTGCGAGAGTATGATGCTACGCACTCCTAGCACCGGTTATCCACCCTCGCACCGCCACTCCGGCACCCAGCCCGCCAGCCCCACAAAGTCCCAAAGGGGGGGAAGGATCTGTAGTGGTTACCAAACTGTGCCTCAGCCTTTTAATGTGGTATCAACTATGGAAAAAAGAAAAGGAAATATTTATCCTAATAGTTGGGTGAAAGGACTTTTGTGAATTTAAAAGTCCGAAAGAAGAGGAAGATGGTGTTGGAAATTTGTCCTGATGAAAGGATGAATTTTTCAGTTTAATGTCAATAAAAATATGGCATACGTGAATATTTCAATTTGATCCACAGAAAATGAGATTCCTCTTTGTCATTATTTCAAAATATTATTCCCCCACTTCTGTAAAGAAAATGGGTTGGGTGCAGTAAAGCAGACGGCTGTGGCTGGTTCTTAAGCGGTGTGTGTGGTGTGTGTTTGCGTGCGCAGTGGTGTGCCAAGAGACGAGGATGACACCCGCCTGTACCTTGGTGTGTTCTCAAGTGCTTTCCCCCGTACTTCCAGCTGTGTTCTCCCTAATCTGTGCTTTGCCCTAGTTGAGTCCCACACATGACAAAAAATTGGTGGTATTGTGGGTGTAAGCGGTGGTAGTCCTCCTGACCACATCCAGACAATAAACTATAAAGGAGGGGCAACAGACCCAACCAGTATCATTTGTACTGGTCCTAGTTATCAAGAGAAGAATCAACAGGAAAAGATTCTTACAACCTTACACTAATGCCAGACCTGCCAATTGTTGTATAAAGTGAACAGTGGATTATGTTAAATATATTGTATAAAGTATAAAGGTATTCTATTTTACTAGAGTACTCCATCAACCATGGACAAGGGTATTAAGCCCCTAGTTCCATAGACTTAGTATGAATGTATATTTTATATCATTCCATGAGGAGATCAGGCCCTAAATGTGTGGATAGTGCTTCAATATGATTGGTTTTGGAATATGCCAGGTTAGAAGTGTCATTATATGTCACATAAGAGTTGATATACTTGTGATACCATGCAGTACTGTTTTAGTGCTGACTTGGATACCTCTAGGTGTTGTTAGAAAGTAGTAAGTGATCTATATTGTGCTTGTCAGGGCAAGTGGTGTTTGTTATCTCATAAATGGCAGAGAGTCAAGTTGACTTAAGCCCTTCGCTCAATGGGCCCGGCCTTGTGTCCATAGCTTGGTTAAGCCCACTAGACCAATCCCTAAGCCCATTTGCCCAATTCCTTTACCCACTTGCCCCTGTAATGGAGGAGAGAAGGGAAATTCAGTACCCGAATTGCCTATCCACACTTCTAACCTAAAGTTTGGAAGTGATAATTTGACAGGCATGAGACTAGACTTTTTGACTGTGACTGTGTGACTGGATGATCCAAGGAACTTGTGATTGCAACCAAAAAGACAGTGATTACTTTCATAATTAGTAGTTGAATAGGGGTAGTGTAAGCTCTGTGCCACTAAAATAATCATACTAAATAACGGAAGCCTCTAGTGGTGTCTGAACAAGTTATTTTTTGTACATGAATTTAAGAATATTGGTAATTTTGGAGGACGTCTATCATATTCATTCAAATAATTGAAATTTATATGTATTTTGCTAAAATAATTATATATATAACTATTCTTTTTCACTGCAACAGATTGTCGCTATTAAATGTTTTTAATTCAGATAATAGGCAAATGTTTTAATACATACAATACTGTAAAAGACTTACATTGAGTCACACTCTTGACTCCCAGCTCATAAGACACAGGTTCGAGCATGCGGCCAGGCTAGGTTGTTGATCCCTATTTAGTGGTGGTGTATGTAGAGGTGGTCATTCTTTCATGTCGAGGTCCCACACAACCAAACCTTTTCACCATTGAGGTGACACCATACAAGAGGTGGGATACAAAGTAAAATACTGTATATCAGCTTTTTTAGAATTTTCATCACTGCATGAATATCTGTTGACAAAGCTTCTCAATCAACTCGTAGGTTCATTTATGTGCATACAATATTATTGGGACAAATATTGTTAATTTGGAATTAAATGGTAACTTTATCATAATAACTAAATGAGAAATATTTTTTATACTGCTTCAGAATTATTATCTAGAGTTTTGCATTTCAGAGTTCATGGTTTCACATTCATTAAAATATTTTCTCTAGTATGTAAAGTTAATATGCCTTGTTTGCATCATATTGTTTCCAGCAAATATCTCAATATATATTGAATTTACTAGAGAACCAATACAATATAGCTTTAGACGATAATTTGTCTTAGAAGCAACCGGTGCCTGTGAAGGTTTGTTAGCCACCTTGAGCTTGTCTCTTTAATGAGTCTGTGATTTTTTCCTATGGTTGTGACCATAGCCTGATCATACTGTTGTGGTCCACTGAGAAGTTTTAGACCTATGTCATGATTATGATGGCCTTTGTGGATGCAGGTGTATGTTTTGACTGCATAATTTACAAAGGAAAATAATGACACTACAATATGTCCACTAATGGCTTCAGTATTGCAGTTCCTACCAATATTTTTTATTTTGCGCCAGTCATGCAAAGTAAGTTTTGAGGTTCGTGCATTTACACCATAAATATCTTATGCTCAATCTGTGAATGATGAATCAACTTACATTTGAAAGTTGTGTGTTTCTTGTGCTCTTGATAGACTCAAAGCCAGATTGTGTAGTTGGTGATTTATACTTAGTTCATGGTTCATGTGATACGTATTTTTGTATATGATATATCACCATTGATCTATACCTAATACAACACTTACCCCACATGATGCTTGATGCCTTCTACGCATTCTTCACAAGATTTTTAGCTCAAAATCTATGCACATTTTGAATATTAGAAATCAAACTGCATCATCCTTTGCATTTGGTGAAAATACTCTGCATGTTATATTGCTTCCACATTTTGTGAAATAAAATCAGTATGAAGTCTCTTTGTAGTTGCAGTAATCCAAGGGGTTTTGGAAAGATTTTTTTATTTTATTTTATTTTTTAGAATATATAAAGGTTGAAGAATGAGGAATATAAATATTTTTTAACACTGCTAGTTTGGAATTTGACATAGTATATTTAAACCGTATTTTTTATAAGTTCTTTCCAGCCATATGTACAAGATGTATGATGGTTAGAATCAGGAGCAGTGTGTGCATAATTCATTCATTGTCATTCAATCCTTCTAACTGATTTGATAGATATGCTCTGCTATGGTACCCTCTCTTACACAGCAAGTCTCCAGATATTCATCTAGTTTATCCCTGTCATGTGTGTGTGTGTGTGTGTGTGTGTGTCTGTCTGTCTGTCTGTCTGTCTATATATATATATATATATATATATATATATATATATATATATATATATATATATATATATATATATATATATATATGCTATAACGAATCTAATTGGTTCCAGAACCTCGTTCGTTATAGGATTAATCCGTTCCAGGCCCCCAAATACAACCACTTAACACTGAAAAAATTCTGTGGAAAATGTAAAAAATACGGTACTTTATCTTACCTTAGTGTTGTTCAGCATGCAGGACAGGAGGCAGAGGGGGGAGGAGAGAATTATGGAGAAGAGGTGGAAGAAGAGGAGTCATCCTTCCTAACCCTCTTTGGTGACTGTCTCACAGGCACTTTGTCTGTAGGTTCTTTTGTTACCTTTGTAAAGAAGGAATCCAGGGTTGGCTGCTTCAACCTTGATTTCTGGACCTTCCAAAAGTAGTTCATAACATTGTCATTAAACACACTGATGGCCTTTTGCACAGAACCAACATCAGGATGATAATCCTCAGCAAGTTTGGACAGTTTGCTCCAGCAAAAAAACGCATCCTTGAGATCTTTGGCTGGAATGATGCGACTTTCCTCCTTGTCCACCTCCTCCCCTGACTCCTCAGAAGTTAAGCTCCGCTTCAGTGTCTCATTTTCCTCTTTGTGAAGCTCAAGCAGCTCCTCAGTGGACAGTTCCTTACTGTGCTCTTCCACCAACTCCTCAACATCATCATCATCCACTTCCAGGCCCATGGAATTGCCCAAAGACACAATTTCATGAACAACAGCCTCTTCTTCTAACTCTTCGAAGCCTTCAAAGTCTCTTTGAAGGACACATTCAGGCCACAATGGCCTCCAAGCAGCACAAAGACACCTCACAGTAACCTCTTTCCAGGCTGAGGTAATTAAAAAAAACAGCGTCTGCTATATTGAAGTGACTCTTCCAAAATTCCTTCAAGCTAACATCACTGGAAGAAGTGGATGCAAAACATTTTCTAAACAGTGCCTTTGTGTACAGCTTCTTAAAGTTAGAAATTACCTGTTGATCCATGGGCTGGATGAGAGGTGTTGTGTGGCAAGAAGTGCACAGTGATGAAGTTGAACTCCCCTGGCAATTCAACCATCAAATTAGGAGGGTGGGCTGGTGCATTGTCCATCACCAACAAAGCTTTCAGTGGAAGATTATTCTCCCTGAGGTATTCCCGAACACTGGGTCCAAACACCTCAATCACCCACTCAGAGAATAAATTCCTGGTCACCCAAGCCTTTGGGTTTGACCGCCACATAACACCAAGGCGGGTCTTCCTAATTTTTTTGAAAGCTCTGGGGTTTTCTGCGTGGTACACAAGGAGTGGCTTTATTTTGCAGTCACCAGAAGCATTAGCACAAAGAAGGAGGGTAAGCCTGTCTTTCATTGGCTTATGGCCAGGGACAGAAGTTTCCTCCTTGGTAAAGTATGTATGGCGAGGCATTTTTTTCTAAAAAAGTCCAGTTTCATCACAGTTGAATACCTACTGAGAAACAAAGCCTCCCTCTTTAATAATATTCAAAAAAATGTCATGGTGTTCCTTATCTGCACTAGCAGCATCACCATGTCTCACAACACTATGTATTTTATTTCTCCTTCTGAAACCAATAAACCACCCCTTGGTACCCCTAAACACGGGCACATCACTATCACTTGCACTGGGAGTCTTGGCTTTAAGGTCCTCAAACAATTGTCTGGCCTTTTCATAAATTATAGCTTCATTAATGCTATCACCTGCCATTTCTTTCTCCTTTATCCACACTAAGAGTAAATTTTCCATCTCCTCAATCACATTACACCTTGCTTTGCTAAGTCTAGAGATTCCCTTAGCGACTTGCACTGTTTTCAACTCCTCTTTATTCTTTAAAATCGTACATATAGTCGATTTAGCCATCCCATACTCATCACTAAGTTTCGCAATGCTTGTTCCATCCTCACGTTTCTTTGATTTCTTTCTTAGTTTCAAGAGTTATGAGCTTTCTCACTCGCTTTGGACGATTCATTGTCACAATTGTACATTTGTATAACAAAATATTTATACAAATAACTCTATTTCCACATCAAAAGACGAAATTTCAACAATAACAGTGGTGCACTGGCTACACAATGAGACAAAGATGGCGCCTGACGCTCTTGTTGTGGGTCGCGGTACAACAATATTCATGCGCCAGGCGAAATAGTCCGGTATTCGTCCGCGTTCGTTGTAGGAGTTGCGTTTGTTATAGCATTCTCAATTTTATAGGTAAAACCGTTCGTTATAGGAATATTCGTAGTAGGATCCGTTCGTTATAGCATACCCCCACTGTATGTATGTGTATATATATATATATATATATATATATATATATATATATATATATATATATATATATATATATATATATATATATATATATATATATATATATATATATATATATATATATATATATTGTGTGTAAGAGAGTGTATGATTAATAATTGCATAAACCATGAAATAAGCTGCAGTTGTTTGTGTATTTTGGGTTTCCTCATACTGTATATGGTTGTATTAGTGAGTTTTAATGTATGTATGTTTCACTTGGAGGAACAATCACTGTCATTTTGGATCCCAGAAGAGTGAACTCTTCTTGACTGTAGAAAATATAACTCTATGAGCCAATGAATTGGTAAAACACATAATACTTTATTTATAAATTAATGTAGTTCTATGAACTTTTAATTGTGTATTTCCTGTTACAATTTGTTGTCAGTTGAATAATTTTTTGTTGAGGTTGTTTAGATTTTAAAATTTATCAAACTTTCTGTGCAAGGAAATTCTGATTGCTTTCAGTAAAAATTAAATTTTCACCTTTGTTGCCATCCATTGTAAATTTTTAGATGGTTTACTAAAAGCTAGTCAGTGAAAGGGTTCATCACAGTACAGTATTGGTAAAGTGGGTAGAATTTATGCCAAAGGAGGTAAACCAAAATTTGTGACAGTTGGTTAGAGTAACCTTTAAAAGACGCAAATTCATGGTTGTACAGAAGTGGAGAGTGTTTTCCAGTATCTCGGGGATGTTCTTATATATTCAAGAATGTTGATTTGTGTTTCTGGCAATTGGTGAGCTGCCCCTTTCTTAGGCTAATTCTTGATTTAACAAAAGATGTCATTTAATGAAATCTAATAAGCATGGTGGCACAATAGATTAGGTTTTGGCCTTATTATGTTTTATTACTGATGATGACTGGCACATACTTGGTTCTCTTCATGGCATATTCTCATGTGTTGGATATTAATTCAGTGACATTAAACTACCCAATTACAGTATATATATTTGTAAGAAAATAATATCCTCCACTTATTTATTTGCTCAGTACATTACGTGCAGAAATAAAGAAACTGTTTATGTATGTGACTTTGACTGTTGTGACCTTGACTAAGGGACTGGAGTGTATATCTGACACCAGGACATCTGAGCTTTCCCCTCCCTAGGTGCCATAAATCAGAATTAAATATCTTTACTTGCTAATATCTCTTGTTTGAACTGATGATCTTATGTAATAGTTGACTTTCCAACTCTCTTACTTTCTTGCATGGTTTTTGGGGTAATATTGATATTCTAGTTTTAAAATAGTATCCGAAAATTCATGATATAAAATACATGTCTACAGAACAGTAATAAAATTCATTTGTACCCCGGAAATTATGCATTGTTGATGCCCCGTCAGGGATGACTAATTAGACTTAAAGGAGACTGACAAGACTTGAGCACAAACTACTGCCATGGTTTGCAAGGCTGCTGTCATTATGCTGTACTACACGTCCAGGTCACAAACCACACCAATTAAACTGCTCTTGTTTGAAGTTTACAAACCTGTAATATGTATCTCGCAATTTTTTAACATGTAATCTTATTTTTCATTTTGCCTCCCTCCTCTGTCTCAATATCTTTCTTTCTCCACTTTTCATCTTTTTCTCCTTTATGTCTCACTTTCTATTTTTAACCTTTCCACACACACACATGTGCATGTGTGTACACACTAAATTTCATCAAGCAGATGCATATATAGGTAAATAGAAAATTAAGCAGTTTTGCTCAACTTCTTAGATGTAGCTATGTGAAAGGGCACTTTATCATAATTTTTTATCTCATATAAGCAGGGCCTCTTGATACCATAAGTTGTAAATGCTCATTTTGTAAAATAATTTAAGCAATTGTTGATGAATGGACTTTGTAGAGAGAGAGAAAACTTACCTTCCTCTTACCTCTCATATTTCTACTTTGTCATGAAGTGTGGTGTGCTTGAGTGTGTTATAAACGAGGATAGAGGTCTTGTAAGCACTGCAGTGATGTAATGACAGCATCTTGACAACAGCCTGGTGTCTGAGGTTGATCTCGGGCCCACTCCTCAATGTGTACTTAGTCAATGGTTGGAGTACCTCTCCAACGCTGACTGAGTCTACTTGGTTATCTGTTAAAGAGTCCCTCTCTGACATGTGCTAAGTCTTAACTTTGTCAATTGTTGGAGTACCTCTCCAATGCTGACTGAGTCTACTTGGTTATCTGTTAAAGAGTCCCTCTCTGACATGTGCTAAGTCTTAACTTTGTCAGTTGTTGGAGTGCCTCTCTGACATAGGCTGAGTTCCTAACTTAAAATCATTGAACCTGAATA